AAACTGTACATATTAAGTATGAGCTGTTTTTTGTATAATATATCCCAGTAAACCTATTTTATTAGTTTTTTAATGTGTGTGTATTTTTGAAAGAGAGACAGAGACAGACAGAGTGCAAGCTGGGGAGAGGCAGATAGAGAGAAAGACACAGAAATTGAAGCAGACTCCAGACTCTGAGCTGTCAGCACAGAGCCTGATGTGGGGCTCAAACCCACGAACCATGAGATCATGACATGAGCCGAAGTTGGACACTTAATTGACTGAGCCACCCAGGTACCCCCCAATAAACCTATTTTAAAAGAAAACTAGAGGGTATTATGCTATGTGAAATTAGAGAAAGACAAATATCATATGACTTCACTCATATGAGGACTTTAAAATACAAAACAGATGAACATAAGGGAAGGGAAACAAAAATAATATAAAAACAGGGAGGGGGACAAAAACATAAAAGACTCTTAAATATAGAGAACAAACAGAGGGTTACTGGAGGGGTCATGGGAGGGGGGATGGGCCAAATGGGTAAGGGGCATTAAGGAATCTACTCCTGAAATCATTGTTGCACTATATGCCAACTCACTTGGATGTAAATTAAAAAAATAAATAAAAACAAGAAAGATGTAAATTAAAAAAATAAAAACAAGAAAGAAAAAATAATTCTAGAGAGTAGTTAAAAGACAGTGATAGATCTGTATCTGCTCTCACAGAAATATCTTGCATTCATTTTATTAAGTCAAAGTCAAGAGGCAGAACAATATGTACACTGTTCATTGCAAATCTTAAAAATTCCATGTATTTTTATAGCACATCTTCACATGAAAAAGTCTCAGATCAACTGTAACATGACCCTCATCAGACTGTTAACTGTGATTGTCTCTGAAAAAGGGGCTGAATTCTGAGGAAGGAGGATATTGTAATTATCTGTATTGTCAAAATTTTTCACAAGAACATATGTACTATTATCTTTGTTATATAATGCCTTAAAGTTATCTTTATTATTAAAATATTTAAATACACCTAACCACGAAGATAGTAGCCATGCATTAATCACAGATGTGATTAATCAGATAAACTGACAGGTGATAGAACAGTAAGCCTGCCAAGGCTTAAAGCAACAAAGTTCTGGGGGTGCCTGGGTGGCTCAGTCGGAACTGACTTCGGCTTGGGTCATGATCTCACAGGTCAGTTCGTGAGTTCCAGCCCTGCATTGGTCTCTCTGCTGTCAGCAGAGAGCCGGCTCTGGATCCTCTTGATCCCCCCTTCGCTGACCCTCCCACACTCACATGTACATTCTCTCTCAAAAATAAATAAACATTAAAAAATTAATAAAGTTAGGGGCGCCTGGGTGGCTCACTCAGTTAAGCGTCTGACTTTGGCTTAGGTCATGATCTCGTAGTTTGTAAGTTCGAGCCCTCCATGGGGCTCTGTGCTGACAGCTTGGAGCCTGGAGCCTGATTCGGATTCTGTGCCTCCCTCTCTCTCTCTGCCTCTCCGCTGCTCATGCTCTCTCTCTCTCTCCAAAATAAATAAACATTAACAATTAATAATAAATAAATAAAATTAAAAACCACAGCAACAACAAAAGTTTGTTTCTCATGCACATAAACTCTGATGTGAGTTGGCAGGTGTCCAGGCTGCTCCTATCATTCCACTTCTCAATAAGGGTCTCAAGGTTGGCTGCTGAATAAAACAGAAAGCATGGGTGAGACAAACTGGCTCTCAAATACCTCGGCCTGAAGATGACAAACACCATTACTGTTCCTATTTCAGTGTCAACAGTAGTCACATGACTCTCCCTGAGGAGGGTGGGAATGTAGTCTCCCTGTCAGCCCAGGAAGAAGAGCAAGACATGATGTTCATGAGCACTTGCAGCCTTTCCCATAAACTGGAACTTAGTAGATGCTCAACAAAGAGACAAAGAACAATTATTAGAATTTGTTGTGAAAACAACGCTCTTCTTGGAGTTTCTAAGGAGGCCAGTTTGCCTTGCAATTCTGCAAATTTTTCCAATCCTGCTATGTGGCACGTTCTTTCAAATACTGGACCACATTTAATTTTCAAAAGGATCCTGTAAAATCTCAGTAAGGAGGGCTCACCTTTTTCACTCACTGGCACTTCTGTGCACTCACCGCTTAAATGAATTCTAGAATCTCTGTAGGATGAGAATGCTCTCTTTCTACTGAAGCATGGTCAAAACTTTAACTTGTGAGTCTAGGCAACCCTCAGCGAGACTAAATGTGCAGGACAGTTTTACGGGTGCCATTAGGCACAAAGACAGCGAAGCATTTTCCTCTGGGGCAAGTACTGAGGTAAGAGGCAGCAGAAAGAGGGCCAATTATTTCAGTCTTTCCTGTCCAAAGTTAGTGTGTCTGTCAAGAAACATTTTTTCCCCTTTTAGAAGAACTCTAGGTTCTGAGAAACTCAGCGTCAGTAGATGTTTGCTGCAGGGTGATTGGCATGGTTAAAACATTACACGAGAGGCTTTGATTACGGACCAGCTGGGTAAGCTTAGTCACTGATGTATGTGTATGTGTTCAGTGGCCACTCCTGCAAAACCCTACTGACAATATCTGTGTCATTTACACCACCCCCACCCCCGTCATCTAACTTTAGTTAAATCCTAAGAACCAGTACATTCTGTAAGAAATAGGACTCTATTCACCAGCTCATTTGGAACACACCGGAACACATTTGGAACATACTGCTGTAGGGCTGGGTGGCAGTGGTATAGCCATCAGGTGTGCAGACTCCTCGCTCTATGCTTCCACTGAGGGATGGGACCTCCAGGGTACAGCTGCAGAGAGGTGGGAGGCTCTAAGGGGGAGGGCAGGCGATTGAGGACTGTCTGCATCACAGGCAGCTGGGTGCACCGTCCCGCAGACACAGTGAAGAGCTGGTCAGCAAAGGAGGCTCCAATTCAGACAGCAGGTCACACTGGGGAGTGCTCCGGAGCCAGGGGCTGTAATGCAGGAAAGGGCTGGGACAAGACGCGTCTCAGTGAACGAAGCCTACAAACAGTACCCCAACTGTGCTACTCTCATATTCACCTTCCTTCATGAGGGCTGCTTTTAGCACTTGGGCTAAAGAGCCTTGGTTTTAGTTACCTGTGATACATCTCAGAATAGTGAGAGCAATAAAGAGAGAGAGGGAAGGTTACCTCAGGTTGGAGGAGTCGAAAAGTATGGGCTCCAGACAAATTTGACCAGGGATCTAGTGACGGCTCTGCCAGTTATCAGCCATGTGAACTTGAGAAAATTACAAGTTCTTCATCTGCAAACTATGTCTGATAAGCCCTATCTTGTAGGGCTGTTGGAATAAATATAACGGTTAGGAAGCACTTGGCAGAGCAATTGGAGAATAGCAGGTCTTCAGTGAATGGTGTTTATCACGGCACTTGATTTTTTTTAACTGCAGACAATAGCACCCTCCCCCTGGGGAGATTTATTTATTTAAATGTTTATTTATTTTTGAGACAGAGAGAGAAAGAGGAAGCAGGGGAGGGGCAGAGAGCGAGGGAGACAGAGGATCCCAAGCTGGCTCTGCACTGTCACACAGCCCAATGTGGGGCTCGAACTCACAGAACTGTGAGATCATGACCTGAGCTGAGGTTAGACGCTTAACCAACTGAGCCACCCAGGTGTCCCTATTTTATTTATTTTTATTTTTATGACAGTTTTAGATTCGTGAGTTATCAAAGAATATGCAGTTTTCTGGGGCAAAGAACACCAAATTCACCCATAATGCTGCTTAGCAAGTACAACTAAAGAAAATTTTCCCTGGTTCAGGATGAGTTACTTAACTCCACCATCACCAAAAACCTCATCCTCCCTTAGAATGTGCAAAATCATACTCCTGATAATCTAATAAAAATGCAATTTAAATGCAGTGGGACCTGCTTACCCACCAGTTCAGAGCAAAGACAGCCAACAGAGTAAGCTCTCAGCATGCCACCTCAAAGTACTATCACCCTGATTAGATATTCCTGGGAGATGCTGTGCCGGAAACAATTAGGTTGTGCTGCCTGTGCAACTGCCCATGGACACGAACACAGGCTACCTTCCATTTCTGCCTGCTGAGGAGGTTTTCCTCTGCTATGCTGATGATACCAAAGTGACTCAACAGCAGGTTTGCATTCCTGGATTTGTCCTTCAACACCGAGAAACCATTGGTCTGTCTGGCCCCCACTCACCAGTCCCACAGTCTCCTGTGTGGCCCACCATGCAGCTTAAATTAAGAGCCTAGTTCCTAATCAAGGAACTCGTAGTTTCCTGAATCCCCAAACTGCCTTTCCTCAGGGAATGTGTGTCTTGCCGCTCTTAGATAGACATCCCCCCGCCTCCCACTCCTCCCAGCCCCCTCCCTTCCTCTTTACCTCTTTACTTCTTCTTAGTGGTCCTTTAGGTCTTAGAGGGTCTTTCACCATCTTCCACATATGATTACTGTTCAAGGACTGTAAAATTCTAAGACAGGAGTGTTACATTTATATCCCAGGTTCCCCATTTCTAACATTGTGACTTTCAAAGAGCAGACGCTCAATTAGAATTTAGAAAATAAATGAGCCAGCAAGCATGAGTTCTAGTGTTCAACTTTTTATTTCTCCTACATTCTTTAATAAGCCAAGTAAATCCACGCATGCATCTTGTATTCTTACAGAACAGCAGGCTAAAATGTATATGGAAAACCAAGAACGAAATAGCTTTCACTTCTATCCCCCTCATTTTTTGATCCTAGTAATTTTACTGCTAAAGTTTTTTTGCATTTCCAAGGAAATGCCTGTGACAATACCATGTTTTACTGGGTTTTTTTGGTAAGCATGAAAGGTTTCCCAATGTGTTTTCCTAAACAATGTAACTCCTGCTCTTAAGCCTATTAAACAGCAACAAATATGCAACCAAAATCATTAATTTAGATTTGAAAATTATGTAACCTCTCTATTAAAGAAATAACATTTGAAATATAACAAAAAGAAAGAGTGAAAGAAAGAAAGAGAAAAAAAAGAAAGAAAAGAGATTTCTAAAAAGAGAACTCTTAAGTTTACCATATAGAACAAGAACACCAAGATGATATTCACTGTGTTCCTTCCAGACCCACCCTGGCCATTGCCATCCATTACTTAGAATGCTGACTGCGTTTTTCTTCCACAAAAAAAACAAACTGCTTCAAACTTCAGCATCTGAAATACAACCAGAAAAAAAAAAAAGCAGCAAAATTCCACGTTATCCACATACAGCAGGAACACAGATGATACACACTTCTCTGGCCCCACCCTGCCCCTCCACTGTTAGAGTGGTGACATACCTTTTGGACCAGCCTGAGACTTCACTTAGTGTGGGATGAGCTGGTGGCCATGGCCCTGGCACGTGCACTGGCCATGGCAGTGATACGAGCCCTGGCTGCAGCTCGGGCTTGGGCTCGCTCTTCTTCATCTTGCAAAGCCTCTTCATACCAGGCTGGGAAGGCACTAGGGACGGTATCGTGGATCTTGGCCAAAAACTCCAGGACTTTCATCTTGCTGGTCTCGGCATGGGCTCTCGGGCCCCACATGAACTCATAGCTCGGAGGGTCGCTGCCGGGCACCTGCCGGTACTCCAGGTACCTGAGCTGCACCAAATCTTCAGTGATGATCTTCTTGGGCTCCCCATAGATGAAATGCTTCTTATCAGAATATACACCCATCATATTCAGGACTTCCCAGACCTCCTCCTCCCGGGCACAGTTGCCTTTCATGAAGATCACACCCAGCACGATCATCAGGATGCCAGTCTTGGGCATGTTCTCTCCTTCAAGTGTCGTTCCATCGACGCTGAGGTCTAGTTTGCTGAGGAGGGCATAGCAGTGCCGGATGGGATCCACTTCCTTCACATCAATACCAAAGGCCAGCTCCATGTGCTCAGAGGCTCTCTTGAGGATCTCATTGAAATGACACCTGTACTTTCTGATGACACACTTCAGTATGTCTGCCTTGGTAACTGGCTCTTTCTTCTGATACTTCTGCAGCAGGAACTGCACCAACAAAACCACCTTCTTGTTTAATGGATCTCTGCATAAGAACTCATTGCCCTTAGAGGATCGTCGGCTTTCCTCATCTTGGCTTTTGTCACTGTCATCTGAATCGGGGCATGAAACAGCTGCACCAGCACTGGCGGGAGACGGGGTCCTGTGGGCTGCCCGAGGACTTCTGGGTGTCGCAGTGGCAGGCATATTCTGAGCTCCATCCCCAGAAAGAGGCCAGGCAGGGGAGGGGCGCTCCTCTGCTGCTGCTGCTGCTGCTGCTGCTGCTGCAGTAGCCTCCGTGCTCTCCAGGCCCGGGGTCTCACCACGGGCCTGGCGGCGTCTCTCACGGGCACGGAGCTTACTCTTCTGACCTCTAGGCATGGTGATGGCAGGCAGTTGTGCGAGCAGTTAGGCTGATCAAGAGGTCACCCTAGAATATGGAGGAAAAGATGGGGTGCATTAGTAGGGATATTCTACCTGCGCTCTGAGAAAACCTGCCTCCGCTTACTGTTTTGTGGTTACTATGTTAGGAACACACAAAACACAGGCGAGCAGAACTCTGTGGGTCTCCACTCTTCTGTGGGGGCTTGTAGCCTCCATTCTAATTCAGAATGCTAAACGTGACTCCTAATTAGTCCTTTGAAATCTCCCTCTGCCGACTTGGAACTGCCCCTTCAGGTATAGTCCTCCCATCCCAAATGCTCCTAATGCGAAAGTAAGGGGATGTTAGTTCTATGAGCTCGTGCCACGAGTTGGTGGCAGTGGGGGTGGGGTATAGAGGAGAACGGGTGCTCTTTGGGGCACCTAGGTTCTGAAAGGAGTGCATCCCTTCAGTTCTAACAAGTTACTCACCTTGACACCTGCCGGATCGTGGGCCTCCTCCCTCTGCTGCTGGTGAGACCACACCTCTCAGACGAGGCCTCAAATTCCATATGAGCAGTGTGTACCGGAAATCCGGGCGAGCACATCCGGCCACACCCACATGGGCTCCCTAGCATAAAAGCTCCGGTAGGTTTCTGTGGGGTGGGCCTCCCCCCAGTTCTGGTGGCGGGGGAATTATAGTGAACTCAGACATGGGTCTTTCCTGACTCCTGACAGGGAGGGCCTGGGACTTCTTCCTCTGGTGAGTTTACTAAGGGCATCTTAGACCAAGCCTTTCATTTCCATCAGAACCCCCAGTAGCAAGTAAGGCGGGAGCAGAGGATAGCACTTATGACTGGGATCTTCCAAGAATGACAGCGGAAGGAGGGGTGAGTAGGAGGGAGGTGGAGGGTGGGTTGAAGGGGGATGTGGAGTGTGGAGGGGGGTGTATGAGGGGAACCTCTTTGTTGCCCCCTCTTTTCTGGTAGGTTCTACCTGCAGTCCTCGTTCAGTGTCATACCTTGGCTCCTTGTTGATGCCAGGATACCTCTCTTCTGCTAACTGGAGGCCAGATCCACCAGGTAAAGCAGAAATCTGTAAATAAGAAGAATTGACATCTGTAGGATAAATAGATATCACCATAAATAAGCATGGTATATTGCTCCATTGCTCTTTTACCTAAGTCTGTTAATTTTTTTTTAATATTTGCTTCCATAAAGATCATGTATATATTTCCTAGTTCTTTTTTTTTTAGGTATAGTTTGGCTACTGCTACTGTTTTGAAGGGTATATTTTCCATTAACAGAATCTGCTATTTATTTTGTATGGCTAGACTTATGATTTTTTTATTTATTTATTTAAGAGTGAAAGGGGGAGGGGCAGGGCAAGGGAGAGCAAGAGAATCCCAAGTAGGCTCCACTCTTTAAGTGAAGAGCCAGATGGGGGGCTTGAAACTACCACCCTTGGGATCAAGAGCTGGATGCTTAACTGACTGAGCCACCCAGGTGCCCCGACTTCTGATTTTGCTATAGTGATCTACGTCAGCTTCCTGAAGTTCCTTATACATTTAAATACTGGACAGCCAATTTCTTTGGAGGTTTTAATTAGGGGATCTTATTATCTCTTTTCACAATCCATCACTCTTATTTTGGTATTGCTACATATGGCTATATACTGGTTATGCAATACAGTCTGGGTTTGAATAGTAGAAATGGTATCACACTTCCCTGTCCTATTCTGACCATACTGGGAACGTCTTAACATTTCATCCTTACATATGTGTGCTCCTGACCTCACAATATGGAAATTCCATTCTAGTATGTTTGCTAAAAGTTACTAGCATGAACTAGGGTTGAATTTTTAACAAAGGTTTTTTTCCTTTACTTTCAGAACATGATAAAATGCTTTCTCTTTTCTGTTAACATAGTGAATTCCAATTCACAGGTTTTTTTTTTTTTTTTTTCAGTGTGATACGATCTTTGCATTCCTTGGACACAGCCTATTTCATTTAATTTGCTGCTGCACTGGATGTGCCATGAATTTATTTAGAATATGTATATGAGTGAGCTTGACTCAAGTTTCTTTCCCCCCCTCACCCCACCCCAGGGGCATACTCATCTAGTCTTTGTATCAAGGACAGCTAGCCTGGTAAAGTGGTTGAGTAATTTCCCATCTTCCTGTATGGCTTGTAAGAACTTAGGTAATGTGGTGATTAGCTTTTCCTTCATCATTTGGTGTAATGACCTTTCAACCTGGCTGGTCAGGGTACATTCTGGGAGCAAAATTTTCCCTGAAAATGTATCAGGACTACAAGTTTCAGGTTGTACTGTTCAACGAAAACTTTATATTTCTGTATGGACCTATGTAGTGATTTATATTTTGCTAAAAATGGTTTCATTTTACTTGGGTTTTTAAATTTGAAGACATGATATTTGTAATAGAAATTGTCAATCACATACAACATTACAAGGGATAAAAATAACTCAATATACCTGACCGTCAGCATAAATAATGTTCAGTAGTTATAATGAGAAGCTTGTTCAGATTAAGGTTTATTGATTTGTCTCTGTTGGTAAAATCACTCCTAAAGTGACACTGTGTTATTCCATTAGGAGGCACATAACATCTGTTGTTTGCTTTGTGGTGTTGGCAGTCACCAACGATGGTCAGTGTCATCCATTAATCCATTAGGGGCTGCTGAATTATAATTCTTGAATTCTGTCATTTCTTCCAAGATTATTAGCTGAAATATATCTAAAGGTAGAACCTTCTGTTATCTTCCAGTTTGTTTTCTTGAGGCAAGCTTTACAGTTGGCCCATTTTCCTGCCTAGAAAGACAGATGTATGGATAGATAAAGAAAGCTAGATCTCTTTGTCTAATTCCAGTAAACTCTTTAGCTCAGAATTGTAATTTTTTGTCATTTTAAATAATAAAAAAAGCTTGCTTGAGAACTCAATCAGTAATAACTGGTTGAATAATTCATCCATTATTAATAATTATTAATGAGCAGCATGTTGTCACATGACTATTACTTGTGCCTACAGATAGTTCTAATTTTAGGAAATAGAAAACTTTACTATAATTTATTCAAAGCTAGTCATCTTTGCAGTTTACTTTGTGTTCTTTCTACGTAGCTAACCTGTCAGTATGCCAGCTTACTTTTTTTTTCTTTCTTTTTTAACAACTAATAATTTATTAAAAAGGTTGATTTAAGCATCTGCAGTGGTGACTTCAACCTCAACTCATGGCTCAGTGCTGATGGAAGTAATCTTTTTAACTATCTCAAAAGGACTGTGCAAATCAGGGAGTCCACTTGTGGATCCTCATCTGAAAATGATTCCAAGTCTTGGAACCGTCACCACAAGGAGCTTTTCTCGTAGATTCTCAGTCTTTGAAGGCATCCAAACTGGTCTTTTCACTTTGAGATTCTTTTCCTTTGCGCCTCTGATCAAGTCGGCACATACTCTTCTCCCAAGATTTTACCTTGCAGCTGCTTAAACTAATTCTAATTCAGTGAATTGCCACCTCTGGTTCCAAACGTGTCTTCCCAGTGTTTTTAAAAGCCATAGCCTTGGAGCAGCTTTCTGACTGACTTGTTTCTCCGCAAGAGTGAACAGCAGTGAGTCAGGGGAAGAAGCCGGGCCTCCAAAACTCCACTGTAGCTATGAATGCATCTTCCAAAAAAGAGTTTTTATTTTTTTCTTTATAAATTCTAATGTGCATATGGCAACTGGTATGAATGTCAGGACTATCTTAGCTTGTATGCATGTACATAAAAAATAAATTTTCTTCCTCTGGGTTCACAAATGTATTCAATAGAGGGCTAGACTAACAGACTCAGAACTCTATTCCTTAATGTGGCTAATGCAAAAATATCTGATTTGTCTGGATAAATATGCTAATACATACTCTCAATTCATTAAAATCGATTTTCCAACTTTTCATTTTACTTGCCAGTAAATTAAATACTTATATTTTGAATGAGTATTTATGTCTTCAGTAGGTCACTTTTAGACAGGTTTCTAGGTTAATAAGCCTGGCAATAGAAAATGTTGTGGAGCAAAGACCATGAAACTACAGATCAGAAGTCCTAAGTTATAAAATCAGGATTGTCACCATTTAACTATTAGAGCTATCTATGACTCCACCCATCCTGTTCCTTCCTGAATGATGTAATAACACCTTCTCAGGCAGAAGTCATCTAGAATGATTTGGCACCTGACAACAGCTTTAGCCTTTCAGTGGCTGAACACCTTGTCCACCTTTACCTTCTGCTCCAGTCCCACTTAGACTAACTGTCCACTATCAAACCTGCTGCTTCCAATACCATTTCAACCATTTCAACGGCTATACTGCGAATGAAGGACTGGATTTCTGAAGGTTTCCTCATCCCTGTGCCTCATTCTCTTAGGCATCAGCTCTAGCCAAGATAATGATATTTAGGAGAAACTGGACATATCAGTTGGTGATCAAGGCTAATTCAGAGGAAGGGAGGCATTGTCTTTGATGAGTCCACTACCTATGACACCACGCTCAGATGAACATAGCCAGGAACCCATGTGCCAGATCCAGAGAATGATTTTTTGAACACATAACTTTGCCACTTGCCAGGTAACCAAAATACTGAGTAGAAAGTTTCTGAATCAAGTTCAGAAATAAAAGAGTATGTTGATACTTGCTAGTAACCTAAAGATAAGGAAGTGTCTAGGGGACATGTTACTGAATCAGGACCAGGATTAAGGTGAAGTAAGAAGGGAATAAAACATCAAATCTTTGAAAAGATGGGGTCTGACTCTGCACTTGTCAGAGCGGCTGTTGGGAAGGGGCCAGTCTTAGCTACTGGAAGCTGACTGCATTCCTTGCCATGAGACCCTGTCCATTTTCAAAGCCATCAGCAGAGAATCTCCCTTATGTAGAATCCCCAGCACTTGAATCTCTTTCCCCAGAAAAAAGAAATCTTGCTCCTTTTGAGGGCTCACCTAATTATGTCTGGTCCTCCAAGGATAATCTGTGCCATATAACATAACTTACTCATGAGAGTGATATCTGATCATATTCAAAGGAAATTTTACACGAGTGTGAAGTGTTGGGGTAATCTTAAAATTCTGCCTATCACACCCAGAAAAATGAATGATTACAGAATTTCTGACCATAACAGTAGCTGGAACTCCCAAGTTGCATATACTGTACTGAATTTAGAATAAAAGGGTTTTAAAGCCTCTAATGCAGTGGTTTGTTTTGTTTTGATTTGTTTTTTACCTTCTTTGAAACAATTGTGTCTGATGGCTGTTAGCATCCATGAGGCAACTGCTTAAATGGGATATGTGGCACAATAGCCAAAATTGAGGCTTCTAACTCCCAAACTGAAAGAGTGCATTCAGACACTGAACTGAAGCTGTCTGTTGTTTCATCATTAATGTCTTCATGTTTTATAAACTCAGTAGCTACTCTCTTTCTGCTTGTCATTTATTTAACAAGTACATATAAGGCTAAGCACCATGCCAAGAGTATGCAGTAATGAATGAGCCCTCCTGTAAGTCTTCAGTGTACTAGGTACAAATCCATAAGGTTTAAAACTCATTCATTGTTCTCTTCATCACAGTGACTTTAAATGTAAAAAGCAATAAATTACTCTTCCATCCTACTCCTTGCAAACATATAGCAATGGTCATGTAACAAAATGAGGAGTGATGCACGGACCACTAACTGGAACATGGACACCTGGGCTTTGATGACAGCTCACCTTCATCATGTCTCTCAACTTGACCATACCCTTGCCTCTTAAGCCTTCAGCTTCTATTCGGAGAGGTGGATGGAATAGACTATTTTAAGTATTTACTGTCAGTCTCTGGTGCTTACTACAAAGGAAAATAATTTTATTTATTTATGGATTTATGCATTTTTTAATTTATATGTTTATGTATTCATTCATGAGGGAGTATGTGGGGGGGGAGGGGCAGAGAGAGGGAAAGAGAGAATCTTAATCAGGCTCTGTACCCAGTGCAAAATCTGACTAGAAGCTCAATTTCATGACCATGATACGACCTGAGCCCAAATCAAGAGTTGGACACTTAACTCAATGAGCCACCCAG